ATTTTTCGTGACAATATTCTATGTTGTGTGGGTTTTCGTTTCTTTAGTTTTTCTGCTGTAAGACTGTGGATTTGGATGTGGGTGATGAAAGGAGTGATGTAACCATCTTTGGCTCAGTTGTGCTCATTAATGGATCAACGAGTTATATTGCTTCTGTCGAGGTGATTAACTCTGAGTCTGGTTCGAGGGACGGCGGTTGTCAGGAATCTTTTTGTCGGATTACCTACTATATGAATGATGTGTTATCAATTTAAGCCTATTTCTTCTAACAAAAAGGTAGATTAAAGTAATAATAATTAATGAGAGTATCCAAAAAAAGATTTTCCACAAAAAAAAAATTATTGTATGTGGTAAACCGGTCTTTAACGAACGTTCCGGAGAGATCCAACACAAACAAGCTGCCATGTCCTTAACTAGGGTTTTATTCCGCCATTCTTGTGCGGCTTTCTTCTTCGGCAGTTCTGCAGCGCCTATATGGCGGAGATCGCGAACAAGGCCAGGGCAAGCGGGCCACGATTGGATGGGGATGAGGTAGACCAGGCGCAAGGTAGTTTAGAAAAGTTTATCAAGCAGTGCGACAATTTGGAGCTCAGGACTCGGAATGACAAACTGGTGCTCGAAGAGGAGGACGCTGCGGAAGGAATGGAGCAGACGATTTCGGGGGCTCGTCCCCCTCCTGAGCGGCCGCCATGGAGTGCAAGAGAGTCTAGGATTTGGAAGAAGATGAGTGAAGTCTGATTTAGTTCTGTTTTATTTTGGTACTATTTTTCTCTCGAACTGCATGTTGTTTTGGGTTTGATTTGATTTCATATCAGAAAGATTCTAGAATTTAAGTCAGGTGATGAGAAGTCTGGTTTGCATGTCATTGGCTTAGTTAAACTCATTACAGGATCAATGAATCTTATTGCTACTATGGAGGTGATAGATTTTAAGTGTGGTTCGAGGGCAGACAGCAGACAGAAGACTTTTTGTCATTTTGTAACATGCTTAAGTTCTGTTATTTTAATATAAGTCACATTCTTCCAAAAAAAAATATTATGTGGTTCTTTAGAAAAAAACATTATTAGTACACAGTAGTATATTATAAGGAAGTGAGGTGTTTTTCTTTTCACTAGTCATTCATCATCATTACCCCAGTGCCTCAAAGGCTCCCACCTATGGTGGGGGTAGGGGGTCGGATATACGCAGTCTTACCCTTGTACTAAAGCACGGAGAGACTCTTTTCGGATGACCCATAGTGAAAATTGCGTCGAAAATTTCATGGACTGACTCATGCTTCATAACAAAGAAGCGCAAACAGTTTAGTGAGCCATTTTGCTTTATTCCATCATATTCCCAAGCCAAAAAATAGTGAGTCTTTGGGGGTGTTTGGTTAATAGCTTGCCAGCCATTTTTGGCTGATTTGACTGCTATTTGGCTTTTCGACCAGATTAATCAGCTATTAGGGGTGTTTGTTAAATAGTTTTTAATTTGGCTTTTTAACCCCAACAGCCAAAAATAAAAATGCCAATCAAGGTAACGTTTAGGTGTTTGGCCGTTCGCAATCTACAGGGCATTCCTACTTTACCCATTCCTACTTTACCCGTAGACTATTCTCTCGTTTCTCTTCCACTCGCCAGTCACCACTGGTCTCCTCAAATAGACTTGTTCCACTCTTTCTTTTTGGCCTCCTCAAATTTGAAACAACTTTTCTTAGTATAGCATTACTTGTTACCCCGTTTAATATATAACCATACGGAGTACTGAGTTAATTTAACAATACAAGAAAGCCAATGTTTAAAAAAATTGTTAATTGTGTTATACGGAGTAATTTTTTTGTGAAAAAAAAATGGTGTTCGTAATTGTACTAATATGATTAATAAAATGTACTGCATAAAAGTAGTTAGTAAGTAAAAAATTAATTGATGTCCGTAAAAGACATTTAACAAATTAACAGCTGATTATAAACAGCTATTTAACCAAACATTATTTTATAACCCGCTAATACTATCTGCTAATGAAAATAGCCAACAGAATCCGCCAATTTTTATGTTGCATGGACAAAACTATCATTTGATTGAAAGTCTGGAGGAGAATGAAGTACCTAAACTTGCACAATTGTACATTTATGATACTGCAGATGAGGTGGTTAATTGTATCAAGTAAGTGAGATTGATGTTTTATCAATTTATGTAGTAAGCATAACTTCTTTAATAAGAGTATTTTTCAACATAAATGCGCTTAAGAGTATCATATATAATAAGGTGTACTTATATTTAATAAGAACGAAGATGATATCAACTCCCCACACACCGATATTGTTAGCGATTTGAAACAATGTTGGATGAGAATAATGTGTTTGTTAAATCTATTAGAACGATTGCTAAGAAAGTTGATGTGTGCTAAACATTCGTTTGAAACTCATTGACAAACGGGATTTTGATGCTAGAATGTATAGCATTTATGTGCAATCTCAAATGGCTAGAAGTCAACCGTTTTCACGAGAAACGAAATCTCAGTCTAGAAGATTGCGCCGATATTATATTTCAAATTTTTAAAGTCAAAATGGATGGATTCATCAAAGACCTTCGAGCGAATAATTTTTTTAGGCATGCCAAAGCAGGTAATATACCTCTTCTTATTTTATTATGTCATCTGCTCTTTCTGTTACTGTTACTATTAGAACTACGCTAGGAAATCATACGAGTAATGACATTTGTTGCATTAATTTGTAGTCATATATACCACAAAGTTTCAAAAGAGAGGACTTCCACATGCTCATATATTACTCTTCTTAGCCAAAGACAGTCAATTTCCAATTGCAAATGATATCGACCATATCATTTCTGCTGAAATTCCAGACAAAAAAGAGGACCTTATTTATTATAGTGCAATAGTGGACTTAATGATGCATGGACCGTGGGGACATTCTAGGGAAAAAATTCGTGTATGTCAAATGGTCATTGCACTAAACACTTCCTCAAGAAATTCAATAAGAAAACTACTTTTGATGATGAAGGTTATCTGATCTATAGACGAAGAGATGATGGAATAACAATTACAAAGGCTAGAGTTGAATTGACCAATCAATTGTTGTGCCACACAATCGTTATCTCCTGCTTAAATACAGTGCTCGTATGAATGTGGAGTGGTGCAACCAGTCACGCACTATTAAGTGCCTATTTAAATATGTCAACAAAGGGAATGGTCGTGTCATAATTACATTCTATCAAAGTCTAAGTGCCGATGAATCCACTTAACTTGTGGATGAAATAAAAATGTACTATGATTGTAGACATGTGTTCCCATGTGAGGCAGCATAGAGAATCCTTGGTTTTGAGATTCAATATAGAAACTCTTCAATTGAGCAATTATGTTTGCATTAACCTGGTGAAAAAATGTATATTTTTCTAATGATTCCTCACTATCAAAGGTAGCCGATCGAGAAACGGTGAAGGAGAGCATGTGTTTAGCTTGGTTTAAAGCAAACCAAAAATATCCTCAAGCAAAGACTTTTAGCTTATGTGGAGTTTCCTCAAAAGTTTGTATGGCACCCATCAACTAATTAAGGAGTGGAAGGAACGGAAAAGGGGGTACGGTTTTCCATAGGTAGAATAAATTAAGTTTCACCCGGTAGCAGAGATATACTACATGTGATACCTTAAGAATGTAGTTCATGGAACAACATGTCATGAAGATATGAAAATATAGGATGGCGCAAAAAAACCTGACCTATCGAGATGTGTATTACGCTTGAGGGTCACTATATGATGACAGAGAGTATAATAATGCAATTGATGAGTTGAGTTACATTCCATCTGCTCACTTACTCAGATACCTATTTGCTATAATTTTGACATCAAATTAAATTGTGCATCACGTTCGGAACATACATGAGAAAAGTGTTGGATATTTTTTTGGATGACATTCTTCATAGACAACGTCCCTTTGTGCATTATGAACTATATACAAACTGATGGATTAGTACTCCACAAACTAGATGCTCTAGCTCAAGACTTAGACAAGATCAAGTTTTCCAAAGGTCATTTATCTCAAATTTGGATTTCAAGTGGCTCATGATTTCTCTTATTTCATCAAAAGTACCAATTGTGATCATGTCATCGACATATACAATTACAATTGCAAATTCGGAACTTGTTTTCTTTATGAATACACAAGGAGATGTGCGCATAGCTCATTGCACTTATATCCTGTCCAATCAAGTAGTCACTTGATTAGGCGGATATACCACATCCGCATGGATTTTTTAATCCGTAAAGCGAGCACTTCAATTTTATTTCAAACGCCCTTTGTGGTTTAGAGTCACTTGATTTGGATAGTGAAGTCTATCAGGAACTTTAATATTTATCTCTGAATCAAAATCCTCATAGAGATATGGGGTAACACTCGTTAGCTTAGTAATATATTTTATTATATTCAATTGCATTATTTATCTTTATATTTTTATATTAAATGGATTAGTTATTAGCTTCAGGTCAATTATGTATTTGGGCCCATAAGCCCAGTTTTGCAGTTTATATGGAAACTTAACCTTCAACTATTATGCAGCTAAGGGTAAGATTTTATAAACAAAAAACTTTTGGATTAGACATTTGTATTGCTCCATAGAGTAGAGAGCACCGAATCTACTGTGTATTAAATACACTGTCATACGTGTATTAATACAAAATAAAATTTTCTCATCCACTTTTTGTAATCCGTATATTATTGCTTGATTATGATATATTCGGGATCTTGAATTGATATCAAAGTCATATGTGTATTGATTGAGTTGTTTGAATTCCATTGTTATATATTAAACGAGTTTAAAATCTTGTTTAAAATCTTATTTGAATTGCTCAGACGCCTCTTGAGCAATTCATTTCTAAGCAGATTAGGAAGCCAGAGTGCTCTTACATAGGTTAGCTGCTCGTTTAGGCACACTAGGCAAGCTAAGCATCACTCAAATGCCTGGCTACTACCTAAGCAAATCTCAGAACATTGGTTTCTCCTAGTCATCACTGGAAGTAAGCAACTAATTCCTAGAAATTGAAGCTCAATTAAGTCACATTTACATAAGGGGAACTTTTTATCCTGCGCAAATTACCGTTTGGCAGCAATGACATCAGCTTCATCAAAGAAAATAATGCTTGGTGCTGCAAGTCGAGCTCTTCGAAATGTATTGCGCAACAAAGCTTCACCTTCACCGACATACATCGAATACAATTCTGCACCACTGGTGCATTATCATTAAAATAATATGAAAAAAGTTGCAATTCTCATAAAGAACATAAAAAGTAAGGTTTCTTATCACATACCTCAACGAAAAAAAGGAAGCCTGTGCAGCATGAGCAGCAGCTTTTGCAAGGGTGGTTTTAGAGCACCCTGGAGGTCCATGAAGAAGGATGCCATGAAGAGGTGATACTCCCAACCGCGCAAATGCTTCAGAATGCCTTAACGGCCACTCTACAGCTTGCTGTAGCTTTTTCTGTTCCATTTATCAAATAAAAAAGTTATATATAAAGATATTTAGCCCGAGAGAGTGTTTGGTGAGGGTTGTTAGACCATATATGCTGAACTTTCTAAAAGGAAAGGCGCATAGAAATCGATTTCAGCCAAATACGTATGTCAAAGGCTACTTATTCTGACTATTCCGCTGAAAGGAGAATATACAGAATAAGCCTATCAACTTTAACAAACAGGGTCCGAGTAAGCTAACAGGTACAAACCTTTATGCCTTGTAGTCCTCCAATATCCTCCCAAGAAACCTTTGGAATTTCCACAACTACACCTCTTGTTATACTAGGACCAACAATAGATTTGGCATGCCTCCAGTCATCCACTGTTATGTTCCAAGAGCAATCTACTTGATCTAATTCTGAAGATCGTCTGACAGCAGACATAGTAGCTTCGCGGCATAAAGCTTCTAAATCTGCCCCAACATAGCCATTACAAGAGGCAGCGATTGACTGCAGGTCAACACTGGGGTCCAATGGAAGCTTCTTAGTGTAAAGCTGCAATGTGTCAACATAAAATACACCATCACTCAACAAAATCTCCATAAAACTTTAACATAAAAAATTGTTATTGTTGTTGAGGATTTATTAGACTTGACAGCCCAGTTTCAATAAGTCCTACAAGATATATTTTGCTCTATACCCATCGATCCTTTTTGTCGAGTATTAATCACAAGCTGGACACATATTATATGTATTCTCGTGAAATTTATAGCTTCTGTCCTCTTCATTTTTTGTTTTCTTTACAAGATTTTGTGTTGTTGTATCTTTTGTTTGACCTTTGTATGTTTCTTGTATTAATATATTTTCTCGGAATTTTGACAAAATAAAAAGCAGGTGCCTCCTAAATAATAAGGTGAAGTTCATAAGAATAATCCATACGTTTATGGATTCTATAATAATAATCCCTACTCAAAGTGTCCACAAAAATAATCCGAACTAGCTATGGTATTCATAAGAATAAATTGGGGTGAATTCAAATTAATGCTAGTTTAATACTTTCAACCTTTACTCCCACTTTTCTCTTCCTCGCTCTTCTTCTCGGGGATAATTCAAACTAAACATGTTTGATATCAACACCATTCCCGCCATATGTGGTTCTCCCTAGGTTGGAACATAAAAGTGTTAACCGAGACGGAGAGTGGAGAATGGGGAAATAAATGTAGGGACTGAGTATTAAATAGACATTAGTTGGAATTCATTCCAATTTATTCTTGTCGACACTATTGCTAGTACAATTATTTGTATGGACACTCTTAGTCGGGATCAAGGTTGTCAAAAGCGCTCGCCTCAGCGCTTAAGCGCACAAGGCGCAGCGAGCATACCCCCCAGCGCTTGGAAATAGGTGAAGCGCACGTACCTGGGTAAGGCGCATGAAGCGCATCAAGCGCTGCAAGTCGCACGCCTGGGTCGACTGAGCTGGAAAAGGGCTGACAGCCTTTTTTTGTTTTAAACTTTCAAATACAATTAGCCCATATCTTTAATAACACTAAGCCCATGAAAATATTTGGGTAAAAACAGTAAAACCGACGTAAAACCAAGAGTCTATGTAAGTAAACACGTAAAACTTGCGCAAGACACTACTGCAATCATCGCTAGCCATCCTCACTCTCCTCACTTGAAGCTGCTCTACACCAGCCAGTTCTTTAAGCTTTCATTATCATCTCAATCAAACTCAGCTCTCCCTCTCAGCACTAAACAAGGTATGTTTTCTTTTTCATGCAGTCCTCTTCATCCAAATACTCATATTACACTAGTGTCTAAATATTAGCGTAAATGTGTAATAAAGTAATAATACTACGTATTAGTATATTAGTATGTATATAATACTCATATGTGCTCTGCTTTGTGGTTTTGTAAAGATATTACTCTATAATCTTTCAGAGTATATTAAGTTCTTAACTTTAAATGCATTACTCAGTTCTGTCACTCTTGTGTTTTATAAATATTAAAGATATTACTCTGTTTGACCCAACTAGAGTAAAACATGGCTGTTAACATAGGGCTGAGTATAACATGTTTTTCAAAGTTGATAACCACCTTTTACAACACACAAGATGACAAACACAGATGAAAAACTAAAAGAACATGATAAACACACAACCAGCTTTCTGTTTTTCCATTATTGAGCACCCATATTCGAGTGTTTGGCCCATAAATATATTATATATGTACTCTACTTTGTGGTTTTCCAAAGATGTTTTCCAGTGTATTAATTATTAAATAATTCCAGCTTTGTACTTTTCCAGGATATGGAAGGTGGAACAAGTGCTGCAGGTGGTGCTGAAAGTGAAAACTCTACAAAAAAGACCCAGCTTGGAAACGCAATTACTTGGCTAACAAAAAAGATCCTAATTTTTGTGAATCATGACTTTATTTTGAGCAAAGTGGAGGGCGGGTATTCGTGTGGATGAGTGATATCGTATTATCTTTTCCCCTCTTTTTTTTCTTTTTTTTCTTTTATTTTTCTTTTTCTTTTTTTGTCTTTTTTCTTTTTTTCTTGTTTGTTTTTTATCCTTTTTTGCTTATATATATAAACATTATTTTTATGCTTTTTATTTTATCATTTTTGGGTATATTCATCTCTTTTTATATTATCTTTTCCATAATAGCTTATCTTTTTTATCTTTATTTTCTTACTCTTCCTTTTGGTGGTGATATCATGTATCGATTCATGTTAGCCGACCCCAATATCTTTTGGGACTAAGGCTTGGATGTTGTTGTTGTTGTTGCATGACTTTATTTTGATGAATCCTAGCTTTTTTATGCATTTGGTTCAATATGATGTTACATACATCATATTTGGTAATTATAGAACAATATATGTGATTTTATCTAAGTAGTGCGATTCACCCGAGTCAGGCGAGCGCTTTTTTGCGCCTTGCGCCTTGCGCCTCAGGCGCTGGGAATACCCTATCGCCTTGAGTGCGCCTCACGACTTTGACTACCTTGGTCCGGATTATTATTGTAGAATCCATAAAAGTAGGGATTATTCTTGTGAATTTCGTCAAATAATAATAAATACTCCATGATGAGCACCATACATTGAGGATATGAAAGCGTTCATCTTCATTAGGGGTTGTGACTTCAATCTCAGCATCAAAACGCCCAGATCTTCTTAGAGCCGGGTCGAGTGTGTCAACCCTGAACATTAATCGCAGAAAACATTCATCTTAAAAGACTTGCAACCAACAATCTATATGGTATTAAAAATAAACATTTAAAAGACAGTATACCAATTACAGATGGCGTAATTTGATTCAGATATCATAGTATGGTTGAAAAACTTAACAGTTTTTTTATTCAAAAAGAGATTGTTTATCCTTCACCACAGTGACAAAAAAAACTTACTGATTTATTAAAATAAAAAACGGATGTATGGTTGTAAATTAAAAATGGTGTATATTATTAGCTCAGACACTACAGTATGGTTGTAAAAATCAACAGTTTGTTCGATTCAAAAAGCGACTATTTACCCCTCACCATAGAGAGAAAAACTTAAGTAATCCCACCCTCCCTGCCTGCCATGAATAAAACATATTAAAGTTGTATTTCTTTGGGTATGGGTTCATGGCATATCAACATCTTTGCATTTAAAATAATATAAACATATAAAGGTTGGATTTCTATGAGTACGGGTTTATTCCATATCAATAATATATAGTGATTGTAAAATAACAAAATAGGTGATACCCTTGAAAGCAACACCACCAAATTACTATTGACCTTCAATAATAAAAGATAGAATAATAATGCTTTCTTTTGCAATCCACATGTCAAAAAAATATCCTAAATTGGAATAGTATCGGGGGGTTTGATTTGCCAAATTGCCATTACAGGTTACTTGAGAGAATGATGGAAAAAAGGGTTTCTCCGTCAAGAGTAAATCGCATTTACTAATATATGGAACTTAAAAGTAAATAAAAATAACCAAAATGACCTCTTTGTACTTTATTTGAATACAACACAAGAAAAAATGGAAACCAAAAAGTTACTTCCCTGAAACATCAGTAGAACCCACCTATTAGTTGATGCCACTACAACAACATGTAATCCAGATGTTGAAACGGACTTATTAGAGTCCATCAACATAAAGAGCTGAGAAGCTACACGTACATCTTGTTCTCTTCTGCAATAGCAAACTCACCAAGTATGTTGAATGAAATATGAATATGAAAGTATTATGTGCAAGTGCAATAATCTATGAAGCACGGAAACTTCCAATGGCTCATGCTTCCCCGCTCCGCAAACTGGAAAGCGTATCAAAAACTCCAGAACTTCAAATTCCAGTTTGAGGGGTGTTTCAATAATTAAGAAAAATTGGAAAGCTTGTTTCCCAAAATAATACTCCCTCCGTCCCATTTATATTGTCCCGGAAGAGGGTGACACGGTTATTAAGAAAAGTGGGTTTGTGTGGTTGATATTAATTGATAAAGTAAGAATGAAATAAGAATGATTTAGAGCCACACAAACTTTGCCAAATATGGTATGAGACAATATAAGTGGGACTTCCCGAAAAGGTAAAATGAGACAAAATAAATGGGACGGAGGGAGTAACGTTTAGGAAATTTTGGATTTCCAAGTATTTTTCTTTTTGATGGGGTCCATTGACGGAAAATAGTGCCTTTCCAAAACTCTGGTGAATTTTTATAAGATTTCTTCCTAGCAAAAGAATAAAGTAAGAATGATTTAGAGTCACACAAACTTCACCAAATTTGGTATGGGACAATTTAAGTGGGATTTCCCGAAAAGGTAAAATGAGACAATATTAGCGGGACAGAGGGGGTAATAGTTTATAAACTTGAATACATAGTCTTTAGTTACTAATGGTTATCAAACAAAATTATCTGAAATAATGTGCATATATATAAACGAAAAAACATGTATACATATATAAAAATATTTATACATATGTCCTCATGTTTTTTAAAATTAGTGTGTTTTCCCATATTTTGTGTCATGTATTTTTTTAGAAACCATATTTCCGATTTCCATACTACTCAGGCAATGACAATGTTTGAAATTGCGTTTTGCAAGCTTGAGGCGGTTTCTTAGCATTACCTATTGTGTAACCTCATTGTGCAATTTCAAACGATGGGCAATAATACATTAAGAAAGCATTAAGTGATACAAGTTTGAGATAAAGTTAAAACTCATGGCCCTGGAAAGTGTATTAACTGGAATGATTACCTAGAATCACGACGAGGGCATAGTACATCAATTTCGTCTATGAAGATAACAGATGGCTTCCCAAGGTTTGCATGAGACGATGCTTTTGCAAATGCTTCCCGCAAAACTCTCTCGCTTTCTCCAGTATGTGCTCTATGGACACTGTGTGGGCGATGCACCACAAAATTAATGACATTTGGGATTCATGCCCATATATTTATCACAGCTTCTCATATGGGAAAAGAGATAAGGCATTCACATATGACCCACAAATATTTTCTTGATATCTCCCAAAGCAACTAATGTGTGTCAAGTTTCTTCATAAGCTATGTAACGTTTTAGCATAAATATCTCCACTTTAACATCATGATAAGCAATGAAACATTTCATTAACTCCAAAATGTACATTTTATTTCTATGATTCTATCACTAAAATGTGCACATAACACTACCTTAGTCCCGAAAAAAGTCACCATTGTAATACTAGGATCATTATTTTAAACACGAATTACACGACTCTATTCTGGGGAGGAATGAGTACTTAGTCTCTCATCTGCTTAAAAATAGAAAATAAAGCTTGCTAGGGGATAGTTCTATATGTATAGATCTAAAAAAACAAACATGACACACATAAAACATTACAATATGTAGTACCTAATAACAGTCAAATGTGCTCCACATTCTTGAACAACTGCTCTAACCAAACTTGTCTGCAAATCCAGTAATACATTATTGGAACAATATTTGAGAAATAGATCCCTTTTTCTCACAATGCAAATGGTGATCAAGCTAAGAGATAGATAGCCAAGAGAATAAATGTGTATCTACCTTTCCAGTACCAGGTGGACCATAGAGCAACAAGCCACGAGGCCACTATAAGAAGACAATGAAAGATACCCACAAATAAACAAGTCTATCAATATTATTAGTGAGGGGAACTATACAAAAACATTCGTATCCAAATTACTTTGAGGCCAAGCTTTTGAGACTCTTGAGAATACAGGAGTGGATACATAATGAGTTCCCGAAGAGCACGGACCGCCTCTGCATTTCCAGCAATGGCATCCTCAGCCATCCACTCTCTGCCTCCAGTTGTACTTCCATTGCTGCTTTCCATTAGAAGTTTTATTGTATGTTTCTAAATCGTTCTTCCAAATAGGTTTTCAAGGCAGCTTTTAGGGTTACAGGATTGGCAAATGAAAACCTACAGCAGAAATTACAATGTCATGGTGGTGCAGTCGGGACAAATAAATAAAAAAAAACACAAACTAAATCAAAGGAAACCACTCAGATTATTTTCAAAACACTACAATAGGTAAATTAATACTCCGAATGAACATGATAGGCTCAGGAACCGATTACTCTTCCAGAATTTGTTGACTGAGGGGGTGTTTGGAACTGATTCTGCTTCTGCTTCTATTTTTAAGTGAGAATCAGAATCAGAATTTTCTGCTGTATGAAAAAGTGATTCTGTCTGAAGTGTTTGGTATTGATTCTGCTCTATGTAATAGAGAATCAGTTTTGAGTGTTTGGATAAGCTACTTTTGCAAACTGATTTTTGTGTAAATTTACCAAAAGGACACTATTGCTGCTGTGAAAATTCCATACCCTTATGGAATTGAATGTCATTCCCAGTTTTGCTAGGCGTAAGTGAAAATCATATGCTTATTAGTTATTACTAAACCAAAGAAATTATTTGCAAAAAAAAAAAAAGATGAAAGACCAACACAATAATTCGAATTGAGAGTATACCTTGAAATTATTACTAAATCAGTTAAGGTCTTTGTATTGGACTTGAGAAAATCAACGAACTCACAAGTTGAGAGTATACCTTGAAATTGAAGCCGAGAGATGAAGGTTGGAGAAACCATCGCTGGAGAAGCCAAGCCCCGACCCAAAGGGTTGCGTCTCCTGGAGACAATTGTCGGAGAAGCTCTCGCAGGAGAACCCCAAGCGCCGGCCGGGTTTGTCGCACAGAGCCACAGAGACAATGGAGAAGAGAAGCTCTGGAGGGTAGACAATGCCTAAAGGGTTTGTCGCTGATTTGGGCTTAGCGAGAGTTACGAAGGATATTTTAGGAATAGAATTTAGTAGAATCGGAAGCTGATTTTCAGAAGCTGGTAGTACCCAGCTTCTACCAAACTGATTCTACACCTATTTTAACAGAAGTTTTTTAATCAGATCCAAACACCTTCCAAACTGATTCTGCTTCAAAGTGCTCCTTGGGGCAGCAGAATCAGCTTCTAAAATCAGATCCAAACACCATTTGAGACAGGGCCTTCCTGTTTGTCAGGACAGAGCAAAACTCTTTGACTTTTTTCTCAATATTTTTATATTTCATACTTTGTCACAGTATTGAATATGATAAAACTATGTTAAAAGATATAATAATAGTAATACCTTTATCATCTGATAAGTTGCATATATAAATAAAAATAGCACCACAAATAACAACTAAAGCTAAAACATAAATGTAAAATTTAAAAACATCTTTCATACAAGATTGTGAAGCAAAATCGTCAATCATAGCTTCAAAATCAATCTCTTCAAGCGTCTCATGCTGGACGCTTAATATTAGTAATCCATTAACCTTTCTTGAACATAATTGACCGCAAATAATAATGCATTGGCATCTCATTGCTAATTGTTTAATCTAAACTGGAAATTCAAAAAATCTAGATTATTAAGATTAATATTGCTGGCTCGCGAAACTGGTGCTTTCAATTTTACATATGTAACAACAATGGAATTTGATTTAAGTGTGCAAGTAAATGAACATTTGACAATTATACTTGCATATTACTTTGCAAATCTAAAATTGGTTTTCTTTTAAAAATAATACTCCCTCTGTCCCCCTTAATTGTCCCATTTTTTTCATTTTTGGATGTCCCCTATTATTGTCCCATACCATATTGGTAACATTTGTGTGGCTCTAATACATTCTTACTTTATTCTCACTTTATCAACTCATTAAGTCAGTATGAACCACATAATTCTACTTTTCTTAAAAACTACCTCACTCTCTTCCGTCCCAATATTAGGGGGCGGAGGGAGTAATACAATAATGCCATCTATGTTGCACGGAAGTGTAGGAGGCGTGCTGAAATGTGAAACAGGAAACACCATCTTAAGGGGCGGAGCCATAACCAACATTCAGGGTGGACCGGAGGTAAACTAAAAAAACGCTATGTCAAAATTTAAACTAGTATATAGTTCGAATAAAATGATTAAAATTCATTAAAATTTAGGGAGAAATGGAAATATAGCTTAAAAAAATAGGTTACTTTTAGTTAATAACCTCTATTATTTTTATTAAAGAATATATCACTTTAGCAATTAATATAAAAATACGGTTGAGTCAAATACAAGACTCGATCGTATTTGATAATTAAAACTGTATTTAGATAAAATCAAATCCATGGATTTCGGTGTTGATATCCGATATTCATATAAGTCATAAGCTTCTAGGATAATTTAAAGGGCTATGCACTTAATTTTTGTAAATATATAACATAAACTTAAATGTATGTATTAAATAATGTATATACACCCAATTATCTCTAAAATTTATATTGTAGTAGGTTTAAAAAACGAATGCAATGATTTTTCATTTTTTAAGAGCGGCTGAAATATTTGGAATTTCAAAGAAGTTTTTATTTAACTCTTGTCCGTTTTGTGTACTTGCGGGCTTCAAAACGAAGCAATATTATTTTTGCCTTTTTTGAAGTACATTGGGTAGTCATACCTGCTTAAATTGATAAAAATTAATAAAATAATCAGTATAAAGAGTACTATTTTCAATCACACACGTAGTATGTTTTATTAATATGTTAAGAAATTGACCATCCTAATTCTCAATTTCACAAATGAAATTAGAATACGGAGTATGACAAATGATTCACCAATCGTAAAACATATTGACATGGTTAAATTCATACGGAGTATTAGCGAAACACTTAAAAACTAAAACAATTAAGCACTCAAACAGAACATTTAAAAATCAAGATAGCAATTTTTAAGATATTAGCTATGTACGTAATTCAAAATAAAAAATAAAGAATACCACTTAACTAACCTACTAGGCCGCTGGGGTTGTTGAGCCGATGAGCTGAACTGCAGATGGCAGCCAAAACTCCGAGAAGCTGAGAAGTGAGAAGAACTACCAGGCCGCAAAGCGGGTGGGGCGCGGGGCTGGGGCGGGGTACGTGACTGGGTGAGGCAGAAATTGGGAGAAAGGGAAGATTTTTCTTTGATTTGGTCTGCCCAATGGGCTGGCACTGGCCCATATTATTTTTCCATTGGGCCAGATGATACTTTTGTTATTCTTTTAATATACTAGGCCCCAGATTATATTTTTTTTTATCGTCAAAGTGCTTTAAATTAATAAAATAGCATTCAGCAAGAGTACAGGATAACAAAAGGACCACATGTAATCATCCGCCTTTGGCCGAAACTCTGAGTTAATCACCTTTGACAAAACAATATAACTCGCTAGACCTAAATTGGGCAACAAACAGCCATTGACGATTACCGTAGACCTCTCATCCCTATTATATATTTAAAAAATTATATGTTAATATATATTTGAAGTACAATACATAAAAATAAAAAATTTACCCTGTGCCAGGGCTCCCTAGGCGGCTAGGCCTCCACCCTCCGCTCCTGGGTCCTGACCACCTTTTAGCATAAAGAAGAGTTGAGAGAGTTTTTAGTGAGTTTCCGTAAAGTTTCAAGAATGAAAAACACTCTTTCTCGATAGGGAAGATTGCTGATAGTAAATCAGAAATCAGAAACTCTATTGCTTACTTTTAAAATTGAATGGTATCCCTATATGAAGACTTAGAGGTAGGGATCGTGAATGGATAGGGCCACATTCACGGAAAACTAATGGGTATAGATTTGATTGGGTTTGGCTCAATTTATAAAAAATTGATGAAGGATGTTTTCTTTTGTATTGTTTTCAATCCCAGACCAGATCAGAACAGACCAGACCAGACTATATCAGACAAGACTTCCATAGTTATAAAATACACAGAGACCAGACGTTTACCAGATCAAACCAGACGTTTACCAAATCAGACCATACCAGACCAGCAAATTTCAGTCCAAAAGAAGCATCCTAATAGATCGAGCCATGCTTTTTTTAATAAAAAAAATATAGCCTTATCCC